ATATATATTTTTTAAGTCTCATGCTTACCAAGGCTGCACTTATTTAAAAAACAAAACAAAACAAAATACAGTAAAAGCAGCAATATTGTGAAATATAACAATTAAAAATAAAAAAAAATGTCATTTAGAATGCATCTGTGATCAAAGCTGAATTTTCAGCATCATTGCTCCAGTCTTCAGTGTCACATGATCCTTCAGAAATCATTCTAATATCATTTGCTGCTCAAGAAACATTTAGTATTATTGCTGCTTCATATTTGTGTGGAAACCGTGATGCATTTTTCAGAATTCATTTTATATATAGTAACAATGTTATGTCGGCTAATGTAATGTAATAATGTGGCAATGGTTTCTTAAGATCTACTTATGCTTCTGATGCTTTTGGGAAACGCAGCCCTATTTGAACAAGCACTGTGTGAGCCATGCGTCAGCAGCGAACGCTGTCTGTGACAGTGTTGCCAATTTAGCAATTTTGTTGCCAAATTTAGCAACTTTTTCTTCCAAAAGCACCTAGCAACAAATTTAGCTATTTTTAGATTTTATTTGGCTACTTTTAGCAACTTTTGATAAGTGACTCGAACACATTTTCCATCTAAATTTCACAAAAAGAGGAAACCAAAGATGCCTAGCAGTACACACATCACGTGAATTAAATTATTGCTATTTGCAATTGTTCAATTTGATAATAATAATAATAATTGTTCATTTATGATACACCTTGTTGTACCTGTGATTGTTGATCAGTTAGCACACTAAGAAAAATATCTAGAAAAATGGAAAAGGTAGGCTTCTAGTAATTTTCCAGGTCATTATTCGTTATCCATTATCCATTGTAAACCCTTTAACCCGAAACACAAAATACAATGCGTAATTTAAAATGCCGGTAAAAGCCTGTGAATTCTTTTCTTAGAGTGTAGCATACTGACTACTAATACACTGCTTAAAACTAATTGGTCAGAATGTGTAGTTTTACTGGTTCACTAGCTAATAAAAAAACTTGTAATCCTTCAAAAATGTGTAAGTGTTCGTTCAATAATTCAATGTTGTATATAAAAAGTTATTTATATTTTAACATTATATTATGCATTTATATTATTTTACGAACAAATCTAAATTAATATATAAAAATATATTTTTTACTGAGATTTGATGTAGTGACACAATTTTTGCATCGACGTCACAATGTCATTTAGCAACTTTTAACAACAAATCGACCTTCCTTTAGCAACTTCCCCTGAAAATTAGTTGGCAACAGTGGCCTGTGATTGATTGGTTCTGTCTTTCAGCATTTGCGTGTGTTCTGATGAGCAGGAGAAATGGTTCTATCCAACACAATTATTCGCTAATATAGTCTATTTTTCCTCTTGGAAGCTTATTTTATGCACCGAATTTCATGATAATTAAATAAAAATAATGGTTAAATGCTCACTCTAGCCCGCTGTGTGTTTCGTTGTGAAAGCAAAACTACTTTGTTTCTATTCCACGAATAGAAATCAGTGGTTAAGTTGTATTTACAACACTTTTCCAGAACAGTTCAACCCAAATATTCAGATGTGTGCAGCACATTTTAGGGAGGACTGTTTCCTGATCCTGGTAGAGTAGACTACAATGCCGGCTGTTCTGACTCACAGACTGTAAGTACGTTTTTTTATATGTAAAGAATTTGCCACTGACGAGTTTTGGGCAGTATTGGACACTGACGAGTAAGTAGGGCTTGTTGTTTGTCATTTCTCCAATCACAAATGCAGACATGGTTTTATGTTTACGCGGCACGATGCAATGCGTAAAAAGACTGTATAAGTCATTGTAATTCATAATTATGTCCCCACTGGATGCAACAAATGCCTCGTTTATAATGGGTTTTATTGGTGTTGTCTCATAGCGCTGGGAGATGGCATCACAGTATGGTAAGGGGGCGTAACATTTCGGTCACACGCTTGAGGTATTCGGCCAATCACAATGCACTGGATAGCTGGCCAATCAGAGCACACCTAGCTTTTCAGACCGATGAGCTTTGTAAAAATCGACGCGTTTCAAAAAGGCGGGGCATAGAGGAGAAACAATAATGTACAGTATGTGGAAAATAATGTGTTTTTTAACCTTAAACCGCATAAACACATTTCATTACACCAAATACACAAAATAATGTTCTTTTTAGCAACATCATATGACCCCTTTAAGATGTCTTGTATTTTCACTGATTCTCTTATTAAACTGATAGTTTATCTGTATTTACCTTTGATTTTTCACCTCACTTAACTAGTTTAAGCCAGCAGTAAGCCAGTTTACAATGAGCTTACATTATCCTAATGCACCATGACTTTCCCATGGTTGCTGCTTCCTCCCTACACTGGTCTCTCAGGAGTATGTGGAAGAGGGAAAATAATGACCTCACAATGGAAAGGTCACAATACAACTGCTTTCTCAATCATTTAATATTTGAGTTCCAGATTCATTTAGATGCATACATTTTGAGTTACATATGACTTTTTATGGGCATTTTGACTTTTTAATGGAGAGTACAGAAAAGAGCAGACATTAGAAAGGAGATGGGATCAGAAGATGATGCAGGATTCTAACCCGTGTGCTCTTGAGAAACAGCTCCTTTGTGTCAAGCATGTGCACGAGTTATTCTGCCATGACAAAAAGTTGTAATTTTGATACTTTACAAAATTTAGATTCTTTATGAAGAATGACCAGTCTGAAGAATTCATGTTTTTACTTTTTGGAAATTGTAGGTTATGGAGACCAAAGACATGCTGTATATTGTGACAGAGTATGCAAAGAATGGAGAGATGTTTGGTAAGCCTAAAAATGATCTTTTAACGTACAAATTGTATTTTATCTTATTTTATCTTATCTTTCTCTTTCAAAGATTATCTTACTTCAGTCGGTCATCTAAGTGAGGCAGAAGCTCGTTGTAAGTTCGGGCAAATCCTTGATGCTGTAGAATATTGTCACAAGCATCACATTGTACACAGAGACCTGAAAGCAGAAAATTTACTCCTAGACAGTAACATGAATATAAAACTGGCAGGTAAGAAAGATCATGTACTTCTATTTTTATTGCGTCACTTTTTTAATTAAACCATTATTTTAATAAAGTAAATCATTAGAATTGTTATAGTTAAGTTAATTAATAAAGGTGACTTAATTTGACTTAAAGAGATAGTTCACCCAAAAATTAAAAGTCTGTCACCATTTACTCACCCTTATGTTGTTCCAAACCTGTATGAGTTTCTTTATTCTGTTGAACACAAAAGTATTTCTCCACACTATGGAAGTCAAAGAAGAAAGAAACTCATACAGGTTTGGAACAACATAAGGGTGAGGAAATGATGACAGACTGTTCATTTTTAGCTGACACTTATCACATGATGTGGTGTGCTGAAATCTTGTCTTATTTAACCCTTGCCATTTACCTCGTTCCACAGACTGTGAAAGCCTTATACGGAGAATGTTGGCTGTTGACCCTGCCAAGAGATTCAGTGTGGCACAAATCAAGCAGCATCGCTGGATGCAGGCTGATCATTCGGCTATATGTCAGTCCCTTTCTTCCTCTTCCTGCCTTGAGGCTCAGGAAACTTACAATGAAGCAGTTCTGAGTATTATGCAGACAGTGGGCATTGACAGGAAGAAAACTATAGAGGTAAGGAGCCCAGAGATCAAGCTCTGTGTGGGAAAAAGTTCAGTCAAAAATGAAAATTTTGTCATCAATTAATCACCCTAAAGTTGATCCAAACCTGTATGACTTTGTGTTCGTCTGTGGAACAACAGAGAAGATATTTTGATGAATGTTGAAAACCAAACATGACCATTGACTTCCATTATATGAATAAAACACTTCCATTATATAAATAAAAAACACTTGCCAAAATATCTTTTATGTTCCACAGAGGAAAGTCACACAGGTTTAGAATGACATTATAGTGAATAAATGATGACAGAATTGACTAAATGTCTAAATGACAACCCAGACTGATAATGATCTGAGGAATATCCCATTTTGGAATTAAAATTCTGCTTAATGCCTCATTAAAATGTCTAATTCCGAAAAGTTTCTGGCTCAAAAGCTTGGAAATCTTTTCTGCATATAGCACACTGCAAAAAGTGGTAACCTGATGTTAAATAATATTTTTTGACAAAACCTGTTCATTTAGGTGTTACCATTTTTCAGTGTAGGGGAGGAGATGCTAACTAAGTGTGTTTTCGTGCATTTTCAGTTGACTATTGACTAAAAACATGCATCTTTATTCAGTCTCTTCAGAACAGTAGCTTCAACCACTTTTCTGCTATCTACTGCCTGCTGTTAGAAAGAGTGATGAAGCATCAAGCACTGCAGCAAAGCAAACTGGGAAGTGAGTGGCTGAAAGAACCATGTCACTCTCCTCAGGGGATGGTGCTGCCTCTGGAGGAGGATCTCAGCACACTGGAATACTCATGCTCCGCTTCTGCTGCCTGTCAGCTGGAGACTACAGCACATAAAGAGTCACAGGTGGGGCATTTGAAAAAGGAGGAGAAAGAGGATCAAGCCCTGGACAGTCCTTCTGTGGAGTCCAGAAAATCACAGAGACACACTTCCCCAGATGCCTCTGCATCCCAGAAGTTTTCCTGCTTGCCAAGTAAGTTTGAAGGAATCTCTAAAGAAACTACATTCAATATGATTGGTCCATACATTGAAGTATTGCGGATACCCAAAGACCTCCATCATCACAATATATACTTTTAATTTAATGCACACTGCAAAACATGGTAACCTGAAGAGCTCTGTACATAACTGTTTAATAGTGCCAGAAACTTTAACGTTTAAATTAAAAGTTATAAAAACTCTTTTATTACATATTTATAGCTGGCCGAGGTGGAGAACACCACCTGCATAGTGACCCCGAGGTAGTTTGAGACTGAGACCCGTGCTCTAGATTAGTCTTCACTGCAGATTCCATTAATTATAACGTATTGTCAGCTTAACTTTTGTCATATATGAAGGCTTTTCTTTTTGGAATGGTTCTATTGATTTTATTATTAATTATTGCATTAATGATTACATATTATAATTATTGATGTTAATTATTGCATTTAACATCCCATAAATTACATTGATATTAAAGTGATGCAGATTGTAGAAATTTACCATAACAACACTCACCAGGAATGGGTGCCGTCGGAATGAGAATCCAAACAGCTGATAAAAACATCACAATAATCCACAATGAATCCATCAATTAATGCCTTGTGAAGTGAGAAGCTGCGTGTTTGTAAGAAACAAATCCATAATTAAGACTTTTTAACTTTAAACCATTGCCACTGGCTAAAATACAAGTTCCCTATTCATAATATTGCTTTCTCCAGTGAAAAAGTTGTCTCATCTGAATCAGGAGAAAATATGCACAGATCAAAGACCATTTACAAGACAAAAGAGGCCAAAACAGTTCTAAACAAATATGCTGTTGGATTTTGATGTTAGAGGACTTTCACTGGAAGAAGTGTTCTCATGGATTATGGACCCAGAAGCAATGGTTTGAAGCTAAAAGCATCTTAATGGTGGATTTGTTTCTTACAAACATGCATTTTACTTCGCAACAAGTTGATTGATGGACTGGATTGTGTGAATTACTTGTGGAGTATTGTGATGTTTTTATCAGCTGTTTGGACTCTCATTCTGACGGCACCCGTTCACTGAAGAGCATCCATTGTTGCACAAGTGTTGTAATACTAAATTTCTCCAAATTTATTTCCATGAAGAAACAAACTCATATACATCTTGGATGTGAGGGTGTGTAAATTTAATCAAATTTTCATTTTTGGGTCAACTATTTTTTTTAATATGATCTGTTTCTTGCTTCAGGTATTGTCATAGATCATGTTGATGGCTCCACCTCAGACTGCTGCCTCCGGTCCTCTTCTTATACTTCTACTAGTTCTTTCACCACCGTCTCCAACCTATTAGAGATTAGCACTGACACCAGTAGCTGCATGACTCCGGGATTACATCCGTATTCACTAGGAAATCCTGGCTTTCGTTCATCCACCCTTGGGCACCAGAGTTATCTTCCTCTACCCAGCTTTCAGGAGGGAAGGAGATCCTCAGATACCTCACTTATACAAGGTCAGGGAAACCGCTCACAGCGCAAATCCTATCACTGTAACCGTTCTAGTTGATTAAACAACTTTGCCTCTTTTGTCAGGTGTGAAGGCTTTCCCAACTCATTTGAGAAAGAATGGTCATATTAAAGGCCAGTTGAGTTGGAATGAAGTTAAGGGCCCTGTGCAATGCACGTGCATCCTAGATAACAATCCACAAAGCGGTAGTACATCAATGGTTTTGACAAACCCTCCATGCTTCCCAGTGGTGCACCACAATGGCGTCTTGAAGAATTCTTTAAGAAATGAAAGGTAAAAATTCAGTGAATAATGATTTACCCTTGTAAATAAGAAGTTAAGTAGTGCACATAATTGTATTTTTTGTGTACTTGTAGTGTATTACAAATATTAGAAGTACATTTTTAAAAACGTATTGCATATAATGTAATTAATTAAATAAAAGTCCACTTAAGTGTACTTTAAGAGACACGTTTATGACTGTTTCTTAATAAACTTAAGTGCACTTTGTAATAATATGTAGCAAATTAGCTCAAAAGGGAACTATGTATACATTATTTATGCTCAAAAAAAATTTTGGGATCAAGTAACTGGTTTGGAGGATTCCTACAGAATCAGTTTTAGACGTCCCACCAGCACTCATCTAGCGAACGTTTATTAAGAATGTCTATAATGGAATGCTACTCTCTTAGCCATAAATAATAAAATCATAATACACATTCATAATCACTTTCAACAGCATGTTGCTGTGATCGGCATGATTAGGGACTCCAGTTATGAGCAAAACTACAAGAAGCACAGTAAAGGATAAAGGCAAAATGTTATATTCCACAGATCCACAGCCTGAAAGAAACATCAGTTTCTTAATTCAAACACGCCTTTGTAAAAGAATCAGAATCAGTGTGCGCAAACACACGAAATTTGTTCTGGTTTCCAGGAGCCCCAGGTATATACATACAACATTTAAATAAATTGAGTAAAAAAAATAAATTGATGTACAGATGTTAACTGGTGTATTTAATGCCCTCTGTTACCTATTTTAATAAATATAAACTATATCGTATGATTGTGTTTTTTTTTTTGGGGGGTAGGTTGGTTCCCTTCTCATGCCATCAAAGGCAGCTGCAGTTTCTCTCAGTGCAGCCTGCTCATTCCCCTGATCATGTGAAGAAGGGTGCAGGTCTGGAATCACAGAGCTTCTCCAGTCCACCTCAGCATGAGAGGACTCACCTCAGCTCCCAGAACCCTCGGCTCCCACCACAGTCAGCTCTTCAGGACTCTCTATCTTCTCTCTCCTGTTCTTCCTCCATTATGGCATCAGCCGCACAGCTTCTTGAAACTCAACTGCAGATCAGTCCACAGTCTCAGTCTCTGCCTCAGGCTGAGCTTGGCACTGTATTACCCTCAGTTAAGTGACAATGATTTGATCCATTGTTAATAATACACAGTTTAGTATTTGTGTAGTGTGCACTTAGTAGTGCTTGAGAGTTTAAGAGTGAGTGACTGAAACTGACTGATAAATAAATAGTCTCTAGATCTGGATTAGCTAGATGTGTGTTTGTATAGAAGTGAATAGTTTTATAGAGACATCATATTGCTTGGTCTTTTTTTTGTCATGATTGTAGTCATTTAGGCCTAGATATTCTCCATCAAGTGATGTATATAAATATATTATTATTATACATCAATTAAACAGTTTACTATGACTTATGTAGATGTTGTTTTTGTATCATAATTTAATAGTAACATTATTTGTATAATTAATAATAGAAGATTACTTAAGTTGTTATTCCTGCTAAGATTTCAGTTCCAGTTATAAATAAATATAATTTTTAAAATGTAAAATAGTGGAATACTAATTCATGCTTAGAACTAATGTGTTCATTTAGGCATCTTTTGCTTGCACTTTTTTTAAAAGTGCATGTACTTAAATATGAAAGTAATGGGTAATATAAGGTAACCACATGTGTTAAGGTTAGGTTTAGGGGTAGGTTCATTGTTAATACCTAGTTATTACCCAGTTATTGTAATCACTATAATCTGTGGCTTAATTATACCCTGCAAAAAGTTACTTTTAAGAGATATTTGTACATGATTTAACTAATAAATTAGTTTTGCTGGTATAAATAATGGAATTAGGCTGATGCAGCGATTATATAGATGTTACCTTTTTTTTCTGTGTATGATGTATGTTGTGACTTGTATTACATAGCAAAAATACAACAAACAAGATTTTCTTAATGGTTAATAGTACAACTTTATTTTTTTTTATTACTTTTTAGTAGACCCCTGAGGAGTCGGTAATGAGTAGAACAGGGCTAAACCTACAAGACAGGCAAGAGTCGATGACAAGAGAAATCTAGAAAAGAGGTCATGACACAGGCAAGGGAGAAGGCCACGGTCTTACAGGTGATGGAATCTCCCTCGGATCAGAAATCTTCAAACAGATCAAGTTTTAACCAAGTTCTTCAACCTTACTTGGAGCATTTAGTTCTCCAACTGATCCTACACAAAGGATTATACTTTTAAATAATGATTACCTATATCACCAGGATGGTCGAAAATCAGAGCAGTGACTGTTTGCGATTCATCATCTAACTAGAGAGGAATGCAGAGGCTTGATTAAGAAATAAGACCCCCAGCCAATCATCCTGATCCATTTCCTGTGTGTCATGTAAAATGAAAACAATCATAGTGGATTGTGGAGATTATTAGCTAGTAATGAAAGAAGGTATTAGGTCAGATATACTGACACACCCTTTGAAGTGGAAGTGGGAGGAAGGGCTTGTTTAATGATAAACAAATAGAGGATTTGCTTAAATCCACCCTTAGATGCCCTCTGAAATAAAAGCCCCTGTGAGCCCCACTCACACCTCAATACTGCCACCTGGCTGTGGGGAGTGACCCGTCTAGGAGGAGGAGCCTAAGTTGGTCTTGTCCTCCCTGGTAATAGGGATGGGGTGATCTCCACGGCCAGACTCTATGCCACCAGCCTTGGGTCCACAAAGAGTAAGCAGGCCATCAGCAGACAGTGTGCAGGTGACAGCAGACTGGTCCACACTAGAAGGCAGGCGGTAGCGGCGGCGGAACTCACGGGAGATGTAGCCGTGATTATCCTGAGGAGCCAAACAACAAAAACAGAGCAAAATATAAAAAATAAAAAAAAGTTGTGTTGTTGGAAAACTCTATTCAGTGTGGTATGAAGATTTTGACATATTTCCAGGAAAGATTAAAATAGGCCAAATTATTGTAATGAAGAATAAATGTGTAAAAATAGGAATTACTGTTAAGAATAAGAACCAAAGTAAAAGCCCTATTTTAGCATAGATCCACTTCAAAGTACCATTTTAGAGGCTTTATATATACAGTACATGTACACTGAAAAAAATGATTTATTGAATTTACTTAAATTTTTTAAGGTAAGTGGTTGCAATCAATTTATTTGAGCTACATTTAAATAAACAAATTTAGTTGACTAACATTCAACATGTTTTTGTTTTTTTAAATGTAGCTAAAATAAATTGTTTGCAACCACTTACCTTAAAAACTTAGTATCATTTTTTTCAGTGTATATAAAATTGATGGTTAATTAATATAAATTATATGTATATATAATTAATGTAAAAGCAATCCATCAAGATGTAGATACCAATTTTCATGTTGGTAACATTTAGGTAACAGTGATTCAGCAAACTGTTTATTTCTGAAGAAATCCTTTTTCATTTATTAGTATTTACTAAATCAGTCTGAGTCTGGCAAATCTGAATCTAGTCACTGAAAAAAAAAAGATTCATTGAATTTGTTAAAATGTTTTAATGTGGTTGCAATCAATTTATTTGAGATACATTTAAATACATTTAGTTGACTTTCAATATTTTCATTTAATGTAGCTAAAATAAATTGTTTGCAACCACTTACCTTAAAAAATGTAGTATCATTTTTTTTCAGTATACTGACATTTAGATGTAAGTTAGATTTACTTCTAGGGGACTTATTATTGTAAGAAGAAGAACCGAAATAGGAACCTCATTTTATTAAAGATCCACTTTCAAGTACTATTTTAAAGGCTTTTTAAATAAGCTAAAAATAGATAAGTAAAAGCCCTATTTTAGCATAGATCCACTTCAAAGTACCATTTTAGAGGCTTTATATATACAGTACATGTACACTGAAAAAAATGATTTATTGAATTTACTTAAATTTTTTAAGGTAAGTGGTTGCAATCAATTTATTTGAGCTACATTTAAATAAACAAATTTAGTTGACTAACATTCAACATGTTTTTGTTTTTTTAAATGTAGCTAAAATAAATTGTTTGCAACCACTTACCTTAAAAACTTAGTATCATTTTTTTCAGTGTATATAAAATTGATGGTTAATTAATATAAATTATATGTATATATAATTAATGTAAAAGCAATCCATCAAGATGTAGATACCAATTTTCATGTTGGTAACATTTAGGTAACAGTAATTCAGCAAACTGTTTATTTCTGAAGAAATCCTTTTTCATTTATTAGTATTTACTAAATCAGTCTGAGTCTGGCAAATCTGAATCTAGTCACTGAAAAAAAAAAGATTCATTGAATTTGTTAAAATGTGTGGTTGCAATCAATTTATTTGAGATACATTTAAATACATTTAGTTGACTTTCAATATTTTCATTTAATGTAGCTAAAATAAATTGTTTGCAACCACTTACCTTAAAAAATGTAGTATCATTTTTTTTCAGTATACTGACATTTAGATGTAAGTTAGATTTACTTCTAGGGGACTTATTATTGTAAGAAGAAGAACCGAAATAGGAACCTCATTTTATTAAAGATCCACTTTCAAGTACTATTGTAATGAAGAATAAATGTGTAAAAATAGGAATTACTGTTAAGAATAAGAACCAAAGTAAAAGCCCTATTTTAGCATAGATCCACTTCAAAGTACCATTTTAGAGGCTTTATATATACAGTACATGTACACTGAAAAAAATGATTTATTGAATTTACTTAAATTTTTTAAGGTAAGTGGTTGCAATCAATTTATTTGAGCTACATTTAAATAAACAAATTTAGTTGACTAACATTCAACATGTTTTTGTTTTTTTAAATGTAGCTAAAATAAATTGTTTGCAACCACTTACCTTAAAAACTTAGTATCATTTTTTTCAGTGTATATAAAATTGATGGTTAATTAATATAAATTATATGTATATATAATTAATGTAAAAGCAATCCATCAAGATGTAGATACCAATTTTCATGTTGGTAACATTTAGGTAACAGTAATTCAGCAAACTGTTTATTTCTGAAGAAATCCTTTTTCATTTATTAGTATTTACTAAATCAGTCTGAGTCTGGCAAATCTGAATCTAGTCACTGAAAAAAAAAAGATTCATTGAATTTGTTAAAATGTTTTAATGTGGTTGCAATCAATTTATTTGAGATACATTTAAATACATTTAGTTGACTTTCAATATTTTCATTTAATGTAGCTAAAATAAATTGTTTGCAACCACTTACCTTAAAAAATGTAGTATCATTTTTTTTCAGTATACTGACATTTAGATGTAAGTTAGATTTACTTCTAGGGGACTTATTATTGTAAGAAGAAGAACCGAAATAGGAACCTCATTTTATTAAAGATCCACTTTCAAGTACTATTTTAAAGGCTTTTTAAATAAGCTAAAAATAGATTAAATGAATGTAGGCATGAAAAGAATAATAAAGTAATGAATAGAAAAGTAATCCGTCAAGAGTTGGACAGCTGTTCACATGTTTTTGAGAAACAGCTCTGAAGCTCAGTTTATCTCTGAAGAAAGCCTTTTTCAGTTATTAAGAATTTTCCACGAAATCAATCTGAATCTTATTGCAAATCTGTTTACTCTTTTCTCACAAATATGAATTGTACATTTGACTTTTAGATTAGATTTAGATTAGTTTGATCTTGATTACATTAGTGTAGATTTGAGCTCATATACTGCAGTGTACATATCAGTACAGTTCATCGAGCACTGCCCAAACATAGTCATAGTCTCTCGTGAATGCTGTTGACAGAACAGCTTTAAGGTCAAGGCATTTTAAAACACTAAAAGTAAAGCCCTGGAAAGATTACCCACAAGTCCTTTACTGGCGTTTAGGACTCCAAATGGGGTGGCAGGCTGTGACGCAAAAGTGACGTCAATCCGACACAAACATTTTGAGAGATCTGCTCACTTTTTCCTCATCTGTGCTACTGAAACGTGAATAAACATGTGAATCCGTAGTACTGAAATAGTGACTATGGGGATAAAAATAGAAAAGGAACTGAAGAGAAAACACAACTGGGAGAAAAAGAGAGTGATGTAAACATGAATAGCTGATGAACTATGAAATTATCTTATAAATAAAAATGATTTTTCACGCATATATACATTTCTTTCACATTTAAAAATATTACTTCCTCCCAGTAGCATTCAAATCGAATTATTATTTTTTATTATTATTTTTTTTTTTCAAAATAAGCATATTTATTTGTTATGGTTGCTTAACAACTGGTACTGCATTAAAAATATATGCAACTGAGTCATTTCTGAACGCCTGTCTGTGAAAGTTCAAGGTCTTTTTCTTTGTTGTGATGATTTGTCACATTGTGCTAAACGAAATGACTGAATAAAAGCCTAATTATATAATTATGTTTTCCCACAATCTTTAGAATATATCATAGGCTACAGCATTTTATACACTATATAATCCTTCGAGACACACACACACACACACATACACAGGCACTTACACTAGTATTATACTAGTACATAGTTCACTGAACACTGTGATGCAAAACAAGCTAAATTACTGTAAATAAAGCATTATTCACAAACAATTCACAACTTTACTGTTCAAATACCAGCTTCCTTCCATTAACAGAAAAATCGGCGCAGCAACTGATGAGAACATTTGGATGGTTTATTCAATTTCATTGTAAGTTTCTCTTGCACACATTCTTATTGAACACAATCCCTGTCATGTCCGCATGAGCCGTGACCTCACCTGTCTTTCTCCATGTTTGCCCTGGATCTCCACATAGTCCTCAGTCACCTTCACATTGAGCTCATCAGGAGAGAAGTGTTTCACATCCAGGTACACCGTGAATTTGTCTCTGTCAGACCTCACCTGCAGAAATGATCAAGTACAGTGGATTTACATCAATGTGGTGTTGTTTGCAGATAAGAATACAAAAGGATTTCAGTTTTTCAAGAGAAAACTAATGCCATAAATTCATGAAAAGCAGTTCATTCAGCTAACAGCATTCAGCATCTAGATGAATCGTATATGACATGTTTCACTTGTGGTTTTATTTGGAGTGACACTGTTGTGCAATGCGGTGATGGATGCATTGATCTTCAGGTAATATGAAAGAAAATCTTGTCATTATTTCACATGCCAAAATATTAAATGAATAGTAAGTCATTTAATTCCTTTCCGTAAACTTAACAGAAAAGGTACTGGTAATTTTCTCCATGGACACTATCAATTGTTCTACCTTTTTTTTCTTCTTTCTTGTACAGTGCTGCATTCACCAGTCACAGTTATGCAATATTTTCAGTTTGCTCTTTTTTTAGAGGTCTTATTTGCAATTTAATTCCTGGAGTCTGTAAGGAATACCTCTAGAAATGTCTGGAGTCTGGAAACCTTGCTGCTTTGAGTGTTTCACCTCCACAATATAACACATTTTGAGGTGATACTAATAAAGCTGTTTTTCACAAAGACGACTTAATGCATTGATTTAGTGATAAACAACACCTGTATTGGTCTTCTGCAACAACAATGGCATCTTAAGATTCTAAATCTCAATCTTATCAATTCACAGTGAAGCAGTCCATTACCTCAGAGATGCCTGGGTTGGAGGAGTCCAGGAAGCTGCGGAAGAGTGAGTGTCGATAGTAAGGGCTGACAGTTGAGGAAGCGAAGGGAAAGAGCTCATAGTCGAACAGGCCTTCTCCAAACAACTGGTCGAAGAGGCGGGTGGGGTAGCCCAGGGTGCGTCTAAACCAGGGGTGTTGAATGGCAATATCCATAATGTCAGGCTTGGCAATGTAGACTGGCAAATTTAAACCTGATTGTGAATATTTGCACCTGATGTTGAGGAAATTTTTCAAGCAGAAGATGTGGACTGAAGGCAGGTATGAGGAGGCTGATAGAGGCTGGTACAGTAGACAAAGATCCCAATGATGTGCGCCGTTCCCAGTGAAGGCAAGCTGCTGGTTATATACCTGTGCTGCAGAAAGAGAGGCTTACAAGTGGATCTCTCTGGAATGGCATTATCTCATGGTGGGAACAGTGCTGTCAGCAGAATCGGTGGGGTACACACTGACCTGAGAATGACAGTCTAGCCCTGAATGGCTCCCGGTAGTTCCCTGCTGGCCAGTTATCACCGGAAAATAAGTGACTGCCAAAACAAACCAGACCATACAGATGAAGTGGGGTGGCTGCAGAGCATTACTAATGGTGTGTTATGGCCACTTGTTTTACCAGAAGTTTCTTAGTTCTGACTACTTTATAAGTACAGGTACAGCATATTTTCTCCTCAAAACTGAAGCTTTACTAAAAAGTTCATTGTAAAAGTTGGTCTGCAAAATTCTATGGAAGCTGACTCTAAAATTTCAGCATGTTACTATAGAATCCAAATCATGGACCACATAAAGAGAGGGATTAGTCTAGGGAATGTAGTGTATGAGTGAAATTCCCATGAGCTCCTATACATTAATTTTTTTTAAATATATTTTTTGCTATATTTGCTAAAATAATAATTTACATAAAAAAATCTACAAATACATCTACAAATCTACAAATCTACAAATACAAATCTACAAGTGCATCTCAATAAATTAGAATGTCGTGGAAAAGTTCATTTATTTCAGTAATTCAACTCAAATTGTGAAACTCGTGTATTAAATAAATTCAATGCACACAGACTGAAGTAGTTTAAGTCTTTGGTTCTTTTAATTGTGATGATTTTGGCTCACATTTAACAAAAACCCACCAATTCACTATCTCAACAAATTAGAATATGGTGACATGCCAATCAGCTAATCAACTCAAAACACCTGCAAAGGTTTCCTGAGCCTTCAAAATGGTCTCTCAGTTTGGTTCACTAGGCTACACAATCATGGGGAAGACTGCTGATCTGACAGTTGTCCAGAAGACAATCATTGACACCTTTCACAAGGAGGGTAAACCACAAACATTCATTGCCAAAGAAGCTGGCTGTTCACAGAGTGCTGTATCCAAGCATGTTAACAGAAAGTTGAGTGGAAGGAAAAAGTGTGGAAGAAAAAGATGCACAACCAACTGAGAGAACCGCAGCCTTATGAGGATTGTCAAGCAAAATCGATTCAAGAATTTGAGTGAACTTCACAAGGAATGGACTGAGGCTGGGGTCAAGGCATCAAGAGCCACCACACACAGACGTGTCAAGGAATTTGGCTACAGTTGTCGTATTCCTCTTGTTAAGCCACTCCTGAACCACAGACAAGAGGTGTCTTACCTGACCTGGGCTATATATATATTATTATTATTATTTTTTTTTTTTAAAGCATTTAAAAATATATTTTGCTCTCCATACTGTTGCTGCTGCTGTTTATTTTAAACAGAATATTATACTGATGATTTTAATACTTTGTGTGTTATCATAAATGTGTATCTCTTATAATGAACTGTAAAAAACTAAAATTTACAGTTTTGTATTTCGTGCCTCATGATTGTTCTGGTTCCTTTTCAAAACATCATATCATACAGTACACTTCCTGCCTTGTTATCATTAAATGTGCTACTGTATCCCTGACAGTTAATGTCAAAGTCAGTTTTACACTGGTGGTGAGGTATTCTGTAATGTGCAATAAACTTGGGCTGTTTATATTTTATATAAGTTATAGTAATAAGTTATATAAATATATTTATATATGTAGATATTTGGTAACACTTTAGGGTTACACTTTATTTTTAAGGTGTCCTTGCTACAGTGTAATTATGCATTTAACTACAGAGTCATATTAATTAACTACATGTACTTACACGGTTAGGGTTAGGATTAGGGTTTGGTTTAATTAAATTACAGTAACTATTTGGTAACTAATTACATCCAACACTGGTTATGATAATAGTAAGTACTGTACATGTAACGTGTAACAATTTAAGGACACCTTAAAATAAAGTGATACCCAATTTAGTATAGGGACCAATTCTCACTGTTAACTAGTTGCTTATTAGCATGCATGTTACTAGCTTGGCTCTTTATAAGTACTTATAAAGCACATATTCGTGCCTGATTCTGCATGACCATACTCCACATCCTTAATCCAAACCAATAAATATCTTAACTACCTAACTATTAATAAGCAGTACTTAGGAGTTTATTGAGGCAAAAGTTGTAGTTAATAGTTAGTTAATAATGATGATAACTAGACCTTAAAATATAGTGTGACCAAATATGTAGTTATATTCCTGTTACTCTACTGGAATTTTAGAATGCAATTTTAACCAATTCTAAAATGTGATCATCATCCACATTCTGCTGAGGCTGGAAATGTATTGTCTTCACCCTGAAATACATTTTGGAATATGAAGGTTGAAATTAAATATATTTTTTATTTTAAAAATATATTTTATTGAGCTTCACAGTTAGGCCTAGAACATATATTTAGCAAATATAATATCATATTTTAACCAAATAGGCTGCAGAATGAGATTAGACATCAGTATGTATTTTTAACCCTGTAAAAAAAAATTTTTTTTAAATAATAAGAATATATATATATAACTAATATTTATATCATTTACAGTACAAGCTATCAGAATTTCATCTCACTTTTTGGCCATGTGAAGTATATATATATAAGGTTTCACTGAAAGGAAAGACCCAAATGCAGTTAGAAATGCAACAGTTTTATTCAGTGATGAAGGCATTTGATAATGGATGGAACTTCCAGATCCAAAATCCAGGAGCTCAGTGAAACGGGTCAGAGTCCAAGTAGATCAAACACCAGGCGGGCGATTGTCCAAGACAGATGAAGGTCATTAAAGATGATAGCCCAAGCCAATTTAGCAGGATCAACAAATATAAATAGTAATCCAGAACAAGAGTCCAAAATTCCAGATGAACAGACCACTGGTCAGAGAGCATAGGCAGTCCAGACATCAAATGGAATAACTGTGTGGGGGGGAAAAAAAAAAAAAAAAGAAGAAACCAACAAGACCAATAACTGATGAACCAAAACAAGCATCGCGTGTAAAGCGTAAGCGACAAAACACACTGACAAAGACAAAGTAAAAAAAGATGAGATTTAAATAAGGAGAGAATATATAAGAAAATAAACAGCTGTGAACGCGTGCTGATTGCAAACCTCAATCAGCTGAGTGCGTCTGGTACGAGTGAACAAAAACAAACAGCCGCGAACAAGTGCACCACCACTCCGATCGTAAAACGCGATCAGCTGATAACAGCCAGAATGTGCAAACACAAACAAAAAAGATCATGCAGGAGAAAGAGACTGATCAAACCCGAACCCTGACAGTACCCCTCCTCCCAGGAACGCCACCCGGCGTACTCCTGGTTGAGGGGGTCTGACGACGCTGAAACTCCACGATGAGCGAGCGGTCCAGAATGTCCCAAGCTGGGACCCAAGATCTCTCTTCCGGACCATAGCCTTCCCAATCCACTAAATATTGAAAACCCCGTCCACGGCGCCTGGAATCAAGAATCCCCCTGACGATGAAGGCAGGAGCACCCTTAATCATCAGGGGGGGAGGGGGGCAGGGAATCAAGAATCCCTGAAAAAATTCAGAACATGAAGAGAATGGGAAGAACGTAGGACAGGTTTAACAAGGGAGACATGAAAAACTGGATGGACATGACAGAGAGGTTGAGGCAACTGAAGCCACACCGCCGCCGGACTGACCACCTTGACAATAGGATAAGGCCCTATAAATTTGGGTGCCAGCTTACGAGACGGACCCCGAAGCGGCAGATCTTTAGTAGAGAGCCACACCTTTTGCCCACAAACATACCTGGGTGCCACAGTCCGACGACGGTCAGCAGCTTTTTTAGTACGTCCCTCAGACCGGACCAACGCTTCCCTGGTCCTCCTCCAGGTACAATAGCAGCGCTGAATAAAAGCCTGGACTGAGGGAACTGCAGCCTCAACAGCCTGGGAAGGAAACAAAGGGGGTTGATAACCAAGGCAACACATGAACGGGGAAAGCCCAGTCGAGGACACCGGAAAGGAGTTATGGGCATATTCAGCGCAAGTTAGCTGCAGACTCCAGGAGGAGGGGTTATGGGAGGCCAGGCATCGGAGCATCCGCTCAAGATCCTGGTTTGCACGCTCGGCCATTGGTCTGTGGATGGAATCCTGAGGACAAACTGGCGGTGGCACCTAGCTGTCGACAGAATTCCCTCCAAAACTGGGACACGAACTGGGGCCCCCTGTCAGAGACCACATCGTCCAGAAGACCATGAATCCGGAAGACATGGTCAATGACCACCCGGGACGTCTCCCTAGCCGAGGGGAGTTTGGGAAGGGGAATGAAGTGAACCGCCTTAGAAAAGCGATCCACCACAGTGAGGATCACAGTATTGCCACTGGATGGAGGGAAACCAGTAACAAAATCCAGTGCAATATGTGACCAGGGACGGGAAGGAGGTGAAGCAGACCAACGGAAGGTTGATTGGAAGATTTATTTTGAGCACAAACCTCAAAAGCACCCACGAACCGACGGACATTCTCAGCCATGGCCGGCCACCAAAAACGCTGACGGATGCCAGCGACCTCCTCACACCAGGATGACACGTGAGTTTGGAAGAGTGACCCCACTGTAAGACAGCAGCACGGACCGTATCAGGCACAAATAACAGACCCGTCGGACACCTCATGGGCACCTCAACCAACGCTCACCTGACCCGACCCTCGACACCCCAGGCGACAGCCCCCACCACACGGCCCAAAGGCAAAATAGTGTCGGGGGAGACTCATCGACAGGTGCGCCGAACTGCCGGGACAGAGCGTCAGGCTTACCATTCTTGGAGCCTGGTCTATAAGACAGCACAAAGCTGAAGTGCCCAAAAAAACAGTGCCCAACGAGCCTGTCTGGAGTTCAATCGTTTGTCCGATTGAATATACTCCAGATTCCTATGATCAGTCCACACTAGAAATGGAATCATCGTCCCCTCCAACCAATGATGCCACTCTCCCAAAGCCAAGCTTACTG